CGGCTCCTTGCTGATCCCCTTGCCCTCTCCTCATTTCAGAGGTGGGCTCCTCGGGGTTTTTGCTCTGCGAACTACTCGTGCGTGGTCCACAGTGCAAGCAGGAAACCAAGCGGATAATCCAACAGCAGGAAATTTAAGTTGTTCGAATCATACATATTTAGTGGGGGCTCCCTCCAGCCCTGCTCCCTAATGAGGGCTGACCCCAGATCTCCACTGAAAAGAGCACCCACCGTATGCCAGCTGCCGTTGCAAGTGCCACCCTCATATCAATCCTCGTGATCCTTATACCAACTCTCTGATAGGCACAGTTACTATCATCCCTGTTTTATAAACACACCAACTGACTGCAGAGAGTTCAAATAACTTGTCCACGGTCTGAGAGTTAGTGGCAGAACCAGGATTTTAACCCAGTGTGGCTGACTCCCACATTCCTGTTCTTAACCACCATGCCACCTTCAAATGGTGTGATGTGAGGTTTACAGGGATTCTACCATCATTTCTTATCTCTGGTTAAGGCATTCTCTCTCTTAGGTGACCAAGCCCTGGATCCAGTGACCAGCCCTCGCCCCAGAACTTACAGATCAGGAGCTGAGTGAAGCAGGTCCCAATGGTTGTGTTGTCTAAATTGCATTTCACTGGCTTGTACATAACCACCTAGTACAGCCAGTTGCTTTAGTTACTGAGAAATATATTTTAACTGCTTTATCTTGGAATGATCATGAGGGAATTAGAGTTACACCTTTTATGGGCATGTGATTATAATTTTTGTGGTGAGATGACCTTTAGGTCACACTACTTTAATTTTTTTCAGGCTGCACTTATTGCGAGCATTCTCTGTCCCATAGAACCCTGGGGCTATGGGACAGAATCTCCTCTGGGACTTCCTTTACAATCAGGCAATTGCTTCCGGATGATTTATTCTAAAGTCTTTGGGATCTACTGACAACTCCGTACAAGTAACAACCTAAGGTCCTACAGTGACTAAATCGTGTCCCTTCTTACATGTGCAGATACAGGAAATTATAAATGAATGAATGAAGGTGGACCTTCACCTCACGTGGGACAGAAAATGAACCCCAAATGGATCACAGACCTGAATTTAAGAGCTGAAGCTATAGACCTCTGAGAAGAAAGCATTAGAAGAACTCCCCCTCACCTTAGATTTGGCATCTGTTTCTCATGGATGACCCCAGAATCAACAAATGGAAGAACAGAGACATGGGTAAGTTGGTCCCCAACAGGACTGTCTGTCCTCTTGGCTCCCCATGTGCTCCAGGCTCCAGGCAGGACCTGTACCAGTCATTTCTTTCTACAACCCACGTAGCAGTAGCCGGTACGTTCTCCGTTTTAGGGATGGGGTCTGTAGCTTCACAGCCCCACCTGGCGTCACCCAGCTACCAAGAGGCTGAGCAGGGGCTAGAACTGCTGACTCTCTGCCATTGGACTCTGTGCTCCATCGAAACAGCTCCTCCCTGGAACTCAGGTGTGCAAACTCCACATCCAAACCCCGAGGCCTGGGGATCTCACTGAACTCAGGGGGCAGTGGTGCCCGCTCTGACTGGGGCTGGGCCTGGGCCTGTTGTCTGACGATGGCAGGCCTTGGCCCTGAGGCTCTCCCAGTACCAGCCAGCCTTCATCTGGGCAGGAGGAGGGTTCTCCCTGGCACCAGGCACAAAGGTTCATGTAACCTCAGACCTGAGAAGTCCCTTCTGAAGCATCTGGATGCAGCCTTCTTGTCAGGTGGGGCCCCCAGGGGTGGCAGGAACCTGGAGTCAAATCCCGCCTCAGCCTCACTGTGGAGCACGGAAGTCGGAAGTTCCTTAAAGCCTGGATTCCCTTATTAGTCAAAAGGGGACAGCATTTCTACCTTCCTCATGGAATTGTTATTGGGATTGACTGACATGATTCACGTTCTCAAAAGACACTCAGTAATCCTTAGCTGTACCTGTTTAAGTTAGCCCACTGTGAGCCCACTGGGGCCATGGGCTCTGGGCCTCTGCCTCAGTCTGTCCCCTCTGCCCGGCAAGCCCAGTTCGCCCTGATTCAATTGTCCTTCCAGAAAGCATTCGTCACCTCCCATATGGGTGACACGTCCCTCAGCTGGGATCCCACAACACTGGTGTGCCCCCATCAGACCCAGGCGAGCCCTGGGACTGGACATCATTGTGTCCTGGGCATGGACAATCCCCAGTGTGGACACTGGCAGCCTGGAGCTCCCTGAACTGTCACCTGGTTTGGGAACAAATGTTGGGGTGCCTTGAGATGGGGCTCTATCCCTCCATAGCAGACAAAAGGAGCTGCCCTCAGCTCCATCATGCCTGTCCCACGTCTGCCCCCACCGTGTAATCATTGGTACATGGCAACTCGGGCCTCCTTGGCTGCCAGGATCCCAGAGGCTTTTGGTGGTTGGTGTTGAAAGTATTTTCTGGAGGTGAATTTGGTTTGATGGAAACCTCGGGAGGATGAAGCCTGGCCACCCCGTACAAGCCCACACAGAGCCTGTGCCCCTGACCAATAGGGCAGCGCCCCAGCTTGTGGCAGCCCTGCCCCTCGTGCTCAGAGCTCTCCTCTCTCCCCTGCTCCCCAGCCAATGGTGTTTCTCTCTCTTCCTGCAGGGAGAGCCCCCAGTGTTCTCTCTCTGAGGATCTGTCTTCTGTGCCTGGGGAGCTCCATCTTGGGGCAGAGAGGACAGGGGTGACGGGCCATGGCCTCCCATACAGGTTCAGGTGAAGTGGACTCCCCCTCACCTGCCGCTGGGGGAGGACAGGGGTCTCCCCCTTCTCCTCACATGGTGTCTTGAGCGGGAAGTGCAGCCCCCTCTCTCGCACCAGCTGAACTTGAGGGACACCACGGTTGGGGCAGGCAGGGGCAGGGGGTCACTGCTGGAGGAGCCTGAGGGCTGTGGAGGGGCTATGCCCAGTGCCAACGCCTCTCGCTGAGGCTCAGTCCATCCTGCAGCTCCCATGGGCACCCAGTGTGCTTTCTAAAGGTCTCTCGTGCTCACAGAGGTGCCAGTGGTTCTCGCTGTCGCCACTAACCCTACATCCGGATGAACGCACGTCTGTAACTCACTGACCCGCGCTGCCATCCGAGGTTCCTCCCTGAGACGATGGGCGCCAGCCAGGATGGCCAGGGCGCAAGCAGACAGGAGGGGCCCGACATGCAGCCCTCGGCTGCCTGGAGCACGGCCTGCTTGCTCGAGTTAGAAGCTGAGATATGGCGCACGAGGGGCTGGAGCGGCTGGGGCGCGTCCCGGGACGGGCCTGCGGGAGGTGTGTCCCAGGACTCAGGGCAGGGATGCTTGTGGGGGAGGACCCATGAGGGGGCTGTGGGCAGGCTCTTCCCTGCTCTGTGGGTCACTGCCGGGGACCCTGACGGCCTCACTGCCGGCTTGTCCTCCTCATGATTTCAGGGCTCATCTCGAGTCTCCGGGGTCCCTCCTTTCCCAAACAAGGCTCCACCTTAATAAAGAGAGCATAGATAGAGGAGTCTGCGGCCAATACTCCAGAAATGTGGCTCAAGGGGGTTCCATCTGTTCCTCTAGGAATCGGGCCTAAAGAAACAGAGATTTATGGCACGGATGTACTTTTCAGTGTAATTCTGAGAGGCAAATCCGTATAAATGGCTCAACTGCACTCAGAGGGAAAGGACTAGAAGATGGACTCATGTGTTAAGGGTGATTATTTCTTGGGAGAAGGAATGTGTCTTCTTTTCTTCATATTCAAATGATTATTTTACTAAATAAACATAATCTGTCTAATACCTAAAGAACTGTTTACTTTAGTACCAAATATATTAGTAGTAAATGGGAAGATTTCATGTGAGATTTTCACAGTTTTATAATATGCACATTACAATAAGATAAACGTGGTCTATTCAGGAAAATGAAAGAATTTAAAGGTGTCTCAAGGACCCAGACATTTCTCTTGTGGTTTCTGCCTTTCGAGGCATCCTTATAAATGGGAAACTATCCCACATAATGAAAAGACTTCATTTTGCGGCTTCCCAGGATCTTTGCATTGTTAGGAACATTCCTTTGTAATAAAAATGTTATTTTTATAAAAAATTGAAAAACATTATGAATCACTCTTCTGTTCTGTAACCAGACACAAAAGGCCATATTGTAGGATTCCAGGCACAGGAAAATCCCAGAACAGGTAAACATCAGAGACAGGGAGAAGAGCAGTGGTCTCTGTGATGGGAATGTTCTAGAAGTGAATGGTTGAGCAACACTCTGAGTGTACCTCATGGCACCTGGATATACAATTGAAAAGGATCAGAGGGGCGCCTGGGTGGCTCCAGTCCTTAAGCTTCTGCCTTCTGCTCAGGTCATGATCCCAGGATCCTGGGATCCAGCCCCACAGCAGGCTGCCTGCTCAGCGGGAAGCCTGCTTCTCCTCTCCCACTCCCCCTGCTTGTGTTCCTGCTGTCGCACGCTCTCTCTGTCAAATCAGTAAATAAAATCTCTATTAAAAAAAAAAAAGGAAAAGAAAAGGATCAGAGTAAAATGTTATGTAAACTCAGATTCTACTTTATTTAACGAACAAAGTACAGGAAGCCATTATACAGGTGCATACAGACCAGAAACACTACAAAGAATGCAATGCCAGGGGAGGGGAAGCCGTCCTTCGGGGCTGTAGTCAGCACGAGCTGCTGCTCGGGGGCCGGGGCTGGTTGCTCCACTGGGGCAGGGGGCTGCTCGGGCCCGGCGGCGACCCCAGGACCAGGGCCTGGACCCTGCTCGACCTCCGCGTCGGGCATCGGTGCGGGTGGCTCTTCCAGCGGAGGAGTGTGAACGAGCGCTCTGACTAGCACCTGCGCCCCTGCTCTCCCTAGTGGCTGAGCCCCCGCAGCAGGGACGGGCTCGGCCCGCGGGGGCTCTGAGGCGACAGCAGGGGCCACAGCGGGAGCTGGGCCCAGTTCTTGCGCTCCTTCCGGATCTCGCTCCGGGGCCGGTGCTGTAGCTCCAAGAAGAGAAAGTATCGTCGGCCTGATGGGCTTCCCACGTCCCTCCTAAGTGAAGGAAACTTTTCCCCCCGCTCAGTGCTGTCTGAGGCCAGGATCCGATCCCTGGGAGGTCTCCCCGGACGGCAGGCCATGGGGACAGGGATCTGGGACTACGCACTGCTCCCGGCCCAACCGCACTCTATGGAGGCTTGCTCTGCGTGGCCCGCCCGGTCCCCTCCACGGGCCCTCGCCAGGCACCCCCGGCCCTCCTCACCCCCAGCCTCTGGCTCCGGGGGCTCCAGGCTTTGCAGCTGTGACAGCAGACGCTGGGCACGGCGTTCCAGGTCCGAGCCTGGCATATGGAGGCCCATGTACTTGAGCAGCACGTTCAGGCAGGGAAAGTCTGGGGGCTGGAAAAAATCCTGGCGATATTGGTCCAGCCATGTGCCCAGGATGGAGGAGATGGCCCTGGGGACAGACAGGTAGGCAGGGAGTCAGAGGACAAAGCACCCTCCCACACAGATGTCCCAGGGAACCCCTGAATGTCAGAGACCGGGCCTACTCCTTGTCCACCTGTGATCTGGAAGGACTGTCTGACACAGGCCTGGTCACAGAGGACAGGCTGCCAAAAGCCTTTGTGAGGGGGAGCCCTTGATCAATGGTGTGGCCATTTCTGTCCTTGTTGGGGGAGTCCGGGCACACTCGTCAGTCTGTGTCCTTGCCCACTTGCCACTTGGATTCAACTGCATGTGGCCAGGGAGGGGCGGTGTCGGGCCTGTTCATTGCCCTCACTGCACACATCACTGCTCTGTGAATATCCAGCCAAGGAGGGAGCAAAGGGACTCTGTCTCGTGCCAGGCCTTCCCAGGACCCTCCCAATACCTCCAGCTTTACCTCCGGTGCCTAATGCTGCCTCATTCACTAGGTGCCATGAGTGGGTCTCTTTCCACTCACACTCATCTCCCACAGGGTGGGGGACGTCTGTCCCTGAGCTCTCACTGGGTCTCCTGAGCACCTGCTGAGCACCCAGTGTCCAGGTTCCACCAGATCGCTGAGTGTCATGGCCCCACACTCCTTGTTGTGGGTCCCGGGAGTGGGGTAGAGACAGGGCTGGGAGGGGGCAGGGATGGGCATTGACTCTCTTAGGGGCTGAAGCTGTCCTCCAGCCCCCTCTGCTCTCCCACAGTGCCCACAGCCCACCCACAGCTCCCCTTTTTCCCAGATTCCTAAAACAGGAGCCGCAGATGTGTGGGATGAGGGCCCAGCAGCCCCCCATCTCACAGTCCCCTCGCTGCCCTCCTGGGGAGGGAATTCCCTCCTGCAGTAGCCGAAGCTCACTCACATGTTCCGCTGCTCCAGGCCTCCGCCGAGCTCATCCGAAGTAGAGGGAATGCCCCCATATCTAGAGGAGGCCAGAGGGGCACCACATGAAATGTCCTGTGGACGCCACTTCTCATCATGTCTAGCGTCACTGTCTGACCCCCGACTAGTCTGGAGCCCTGGGGCGCTGTCTGCTCTGTGCAGGGGTCAGTCAGCTCCTAGGGAAGCGCCTGCACTGAGTGGGGCTTCCTGAATGCTTGATGAATGGAAGGGCCCCAACCACCCCATCCCAGATATCTGAGTGGGCCTGGGCCCCCTGCTCAGCCCCAGGCATCCCTGCTCTGGTTTCACCCAGGACACGGACCCCAGAGGGAGTCTCAAATCTCCCTTTCAAATGGCAAAACAGCCCAGCTCGAGACCATAGTGACAGTGAGGGATGAGGCAGAGGATTCCTCGTGAGGAGCAGGACAATGATAAATGAGCACAACCACAGCCCCTCTAGCAGGCCTTTCTGCAGGCCCAGGCCCCCAGGTGTACTTTCCCTAAAGGACACCACCGAGTCCCTATAATAAGTCTGCCCCAGTCAGAGGAGCAAAGCGAGGCTCGAGGAAGTTTGGTGACATTCCCAAGACTCACAACCAGGCGGTGGCCAGATCTCACTGGGCTGTGGAGGGGCAGGGTGCTCACGTTGTAAAGAAGAGGTCCAGCACTTCGGGGTGGTGGCAAAAGCTGTGTACGTGCCTAGGAATGTGGAGATGTGGCTGAGGTCTCTGCCTACGAAGGCGGGCACCAGGTGGTATTGGCATCTCCAGCAGGTCAGCCTGGTTGGTCCAGAGCACGCGGGTCTCCTTCCTCTCTGTGGCTGAGCCGTTTTTATCCTGAGGTGAAACGGAGGAGACATGCACTCAGCTCTGTAGCCACCAGGAGGGTTGGGGGTGGGAGCACAGACCAAATCCCCAAGATCTCAATGACTTATGGCAACAGGTGGGACAAGAGGGCCCATAGTAGAAAAAACAATGAGGTGCCTGGGTGGTTCATTGGGTTAATCCTAAGACTCTTGGTTTTGGCTCAGTCACGATCTCAATGTCTTGAGATCGAGCTCCTCGTAGGGCTCCGTACTTAGGGGCAGAGTCTGCTTGAGGAGTCTGTCTCTCCTCTGCTTCTCCCCACTCTCCCACTGCCTCTCCCTCAAATCAGTCAATCAATCGACCAATCACTAAGTCTTTCAGGAAAAAGAAAAAAGGTCCTTGGCATCCATACAAGGAATTGAAGTCGATGATGTCGGAACATGTTTTATGTCAGGTCAGCTTGTTAGCTGAGTATGGACACCACCTCCCCGCATGAAGGGCACCGATCCCGTGATCTCTGACAACATACCCCATTCTTGACATGAGAGCACAGACACGTTTTCTTAGGTGAGAGGGCTCAGGATAGTAGGGCATGTAGGATGTTTAGTGCAGCACTCTGAGTTGGCCACAGAGGGGAGTCCCATCAAAGCCCTGCATCAGTCAAGGCCTCAGTGGCTGTTGCCTTCTGGAATGTTGTACAATGGCCCCTGATCCTGACCCTGTAGGGGCCCCAGGGATGTGGACTTTCACAACCAAAGGGCAAAGCAGGAGACATAGTACCATGAGCCCCATGTCCCTTTGGGGAAAACTCTCCCAACTCACCATGATCATGTGCAAGATTGGAGAAGATGGGGAAGGACTGTTAGGCCAAAGGGGACACCCGGAGGACTAGTTAGCAAAATGCATAGCAAAGTGCAAGACGATTCTAGCTGAATGGGATGAGACATGGTTTCAAGTCTCTTTTCTGATATTCCTACAAATACGTGGACAATGACGGTGCATCTGGCCCAGGCAGGGGCAGGGCCCTGAGGGCAAGTTTGGGGAGGAGATGAGGATGCAGATTCAGATGGAGCAGGACTGTGGGAGGGACCCCAGGGCAGTAGCAGGCTGGCTTCTGGGACCTGAGGCCCTTTTGCTGCATCGGGGCCCTGGGGGGTGGGTCAGCCCAGCACCTGCACTCACCCTGAGCCAGCGCTGGACTCTGTTGCCAGTGCGGGGCACCTTCCTGTCCTTCACGGAGGGAGCGCGGAGGCCCTCATCGTCCAGCTCCTGCCCCGTCTCCTGTCGGGAGCTCTGTCGAGACAGTGCCAGGCAGCCAGGCACGAGGCCTCAGAGCCCTGTGCGGCTACCTTTGCTGGGCCTCGGACCCAGGGACTCCACTCCACACACACACCACACCACAGGATGCACAGCCCTCCACCGCGGAGAGAAACGTGACACAGCCTCAGGGCCTTGGATTCACTCTGGCACAGGTGAGAGGCCCTCAGGGATCCTCATCGCCCGCCCCCCCCACCCCCATCCACCATGACGTCGGTGTGAACATGAAGGCACCGCCAGGGCATCCGCTGCCCTGTGACGTCCTCCAGCCCAGGGGCAGGACCTCCCCACACATCCCTCCTTCCCGGAAAGTCAAGAGGAGGGGATGGGGCTGCCCTGGGGTGGCTCAGGGAGGTGGCTTGGCCTGGCCCGGCCTTCTCTGTATTACCTTATGGCCCCTCGTGCCAAACGCCCTGAGGCAGCGGGGGCGAGCCTTGAGCCAATGTCTGCAGCAGGTGAAAAAGCCCTTACCCTGGGGTTTCTGGAAGCCAGAGCCCCGGGAAGTAGGCAAGCAACAAGAGAACATCTTTCACGATCGGATGTCTCCAGTCAAGTGACCCTGATACGGGACTACAGTAGAATGTGGGTGCCTGGTCACGGGGCTTCCAAGTTCTGTTGGGGTCTGTGGTCAAGGAAGTGACTTCACTGCCTGGGATCCCCTACCTGGGTCCACTCCTGGATTGACACCCCCACCAACAGTGCTCTGGGCTGCCGGCTGCTCATCCCCGGTCTGCATGCAAGGCCACATCTGTGCCCAGTGACACAGTGCACCCCTCACCACAGCCCGCAGGCAAGGTCTGGGTGCAGCCAGGGCCCCAGCTTGGAAACACACCCGGCGTCAGACACAACTCTCCACTCTTACCTGGTCTGACCCTGCCTAAGCCACTGTGCTTGTCAGGGATGGTCTGTGCCTGGTCTGTCCAGTGCACAGTATTCCAGCACGGACTTCCTCCAGACGTCCCAGGCATATGTGGGATGATATCTATGAAACTGGAGGAGTGGTGTCCCATGTAGGAAATACCTCCAACCACATTTTCTTCCTCTTCTAACCTTCTCTGAGTCCGCTACTGGTCAGATTCCACCCCACAGTCCCTACTGGTGTGTGTGTGTGTGTGTGTGTGCGCGTGTGCGTGTGAGCAGGTGGACGCTCAGCATGTTGTGCACGTGTGTACACCAGGGCTCACACTCTGGAGACCCAGAAGAGGGCAGCCCCTCCGACAGAGGGATGGGCAATAGCTTCCCAAGATCTTAGGCTTCCTAATTTCCAGAGCAAACCCTAAAGAAGGCGGTGGAGCCTTGGCCCTTGAAGGTCAGAATCCACCCTTACCCCTAGAGTCTGCCTGTCCTGTGCTGCGAGCCATTACCTCCTTTCCAATGGGTGTGATGTGGATGGGGGGCCACTCCGTGGGTTGCCGTGACCTGGCTCCTCCTCAGACAAGAACGTGCTGGAATGCCTCCTGTAGGATATCAATGCTCACCCTCACCCCCACACCATCTCCATGTCTGTAGCCACTTACTTCAACACGACCTTTTCCAGAGCCCCCACTGAATGATGAGGTGCATCCAGGGCCCCAACTTTGAGGACATTCAAAGATCTGGGTTCGTGCCTGGTCCAGCCTTCCTACAAGTCCTTGATCCTGGGCAAGGCACTGACCCGGCAGGGGTCTTCCCCTTCTCCCCTCAGGGGCTCCCGCCGATCCCCAACTCCTGTGTACACATCCTTGTGTAACCCCCTCCCCTGGAGTGTGATCTGGACGTAGTGATTCACTTCCATTCCACAGAACATGGCAACACGACCCAAAGCCCCTTCCGAGATTCGGTTAGAAAAGCTCCGTGCCCGGCCCCGTGCTGACCCTGACCCGTGTTCTCTCAGATCCCCACACTGGGGAACAAGCCCCTCTGTGGAACCATGACACAGGCATGTGCACGTGGCCTAGCACCAAGGGCCAACAACAGACAGAAGAACTCAGGCCTTCGAGATGGACTGAATCCTGCCACACCCCTAAGTGAGCTCGGGTTCTAAGTGAAGCAGGTCCTGCCTTGGTGTTGTCAACAGCCCCAACCTCCTGAGAGGCTCTGGTAGGAGCCACCAGCTGAGCACTGCTGCGGTCCTGATCCCCGGAGACTGTGCCCCAGTGAGTGTTTGTGGGCGAAGCCACCGAGTGTGGGGAGATGTGGTGTGACCCAGCACTAGGAGCAGGGCGCTGAGAATGTCCACCTGCCCCAGGCCCTGCCCCTCCTCCTCTCCCTCTCTGCTCTCCTCCTCAGCTTCCTCCAGCCACCCTGGCCTCCTTTCTAACCTCCACTCTGACAACATCAACTTGGGCCTCCACTCCTCTGCAGCGTGGTGCCCTCTGCTGGCTGCATATACTTGGATTTGTGCTGGGGTGTCTCCTTGGCCTGCCTCAGGAAATCTCAATGTCACCTGAGCACGGCCTTGTCAGACCCCTCACCTGCCGGAGCTCGGGACCCAGCTGTCGCCCCTGCTCTCTTCCTATGGAGCAACTGCTCTTTTCATTCACGTTTTTCATTCATGTTTGTCCATCTTCTCTCTAGACCCTGAGCTCCTAGAGGGAGAACCCGGGTGGCTGAGAAGCACCTGCCTCATCTGAGTGCTCAGGGCACAGCGGCTGATGAACAGGCCAGAGGATCCATCCCACCACCGACCAGCTCAATTGTTGGAGCCTAATTGATTTGGGCCCTTTGGAAGGGCTTTTTTCCTTTTGTTTTGTGTTTTCAGTAAACTCTGTGTTCGATGTGGGGCTCAAACTCACCACCCCGAGATCCAGCGCCACGTGTCCCACTGACTGAGGAAGCCAGGTGCCCCTTTGGTCATTTTTAAAGCTACTAGGCTGATAACTATTGAGGTTAACTTGGTGATTTCAACATTTAGCAGGTATATTTCATTATGCTGAATTACCAAGTATCTCCCCAAGTTCGGTAGCATGTCACCATGGATTCCCCCACATGACAGCGCTGAGTGGCTGTTCAGATGGGAGATGGAACGCCTTCCTGTGGTCACTCAGGACCCCAGAGTCCCTGCACCGTGGGCCTTCTCCCTCCCTGGGAGGTCATGTACCTCTGCAGCCATGAGCACAAGGGGGAAGGTGACAAAGATATACATACAGGAGAGTGTTCCTAGCCAGGTCTAAAAGGCTCAAAATGTCCACCTTCATGCTCAATCTTTTACTTTTCGGGGGGATTTTATTTATTTATGAGAGAGGAAAGAGAAGAAGTAGGGGGGAGAGGCAGAGGGGGAAGTAGAACGAGAGAGATGCTGGGGTGAGGAGGCCAGGGGGTGACTGGTAGGGCCTGTGGAGGGAACAGCTTGGGCCACGCAGAGCAAGACTTCATCGACTGTGGTTGGGCCGGGAGCAGTGAGTAGTCCCAGATCCCTGTCCCCATGGCCTGCAGCAGCATCACCACCACCACCACCATCACCAACATCACCACCACCACCACCACCACCATCATCATCATCATCACCACCACCACCACCACCACCATCATCATCACCATCACCATCATCACCACCACCACCATCATCATCACCATCATCATCATCATCACCATCATCACCACCACCACCATCATCATCATCATCAGCATCATCATCATCATCACCATCATCATCACCATCACCATCATCATCACCACCACCATCATCATCATCATCACCATCA